GATTTTTATCAAATTTTCATATGAAATGCTATAGCAACAAATTAGTCATGAAATTATAAAGAAAATTTGAGTAAATATTAATTTCAAATCTGTGTCTAAGCACCTTTAAATGATAACTTCTTGATTTGTAATTAACAGTCCGCAGTTTACTAAAGTATCACAAATAGTATATCGTTACCAGCATAAACTCCATTACCTGCATTACAAAATCAACGTCAATATAATTATAATGATTGACAATAAATTGTCACAATTCACTCTTACATGATAAAATAACAATTGATATTTAGCGTGATAGTGGATGTAATTACACGGAGTGCAAATAATAAGGATCATACCTGTCCCCTTCCCTCTCTTTCTCGCAAAGCAAACTGACAACCTTTGTGCAAGCTAGAACGCTTAAAAGGGTTTTCCATGGGCCGTTTAACGCGACAGCTCCACCACAGTTAAATTCCTCAGCGCCATAGTTAAAAAAAATCAATGTCATAGTTCTGCTCCTGATTTGTATGGTTTGAAAGGACTTTTGAGCTTGAATACTGTTTGTTATCTCCATATATTTCATTTAGCCACAGTTTAATATTCGCCCCACAGTAAGATCGTTGTCGATCAGGAGTTAAGATAAATGATCTACTTTTATACAAGCAGGATACTGATAAATAAAAATGTACCAGGGCTTTCAACAGTCTAAAAAAAGTCAGCATTTCGAAAATTCCTGGGGTTTCTTAATGACATTTTAAGCAAATACATTTATTTTTCCATTAAAAAAATTTGCAAGGTTATACACTTTGTAATTTGAGAATCCTAATTATTTTAACAAATTTACAAAAATGCATGAAGGCCATAACTTTTAAAAATACGGAATATAAAAAGTATTGTGCCGTTGAAGCCCAGGAAAAATATATATCATTGTTTGGGGGGGGGGGGGGAGACAAATAAGGTAATGGTTCTGTTTGTTTTAATAATTCAGACGAGCTGGGTATTTGCTTGGACAAATTAGCGAAGTATATATTTGTTCGAACAAATTAGATGTTTCTACTTTATACAAGATTTATCACTCCTCTTATAAAGAAGAGCAGGCATCAAAGACGATACATGTATAAAACACATGGCCTAATTGCACTTTGGGGACGAAATATTGAAATCTGCATGCTCAAATTTTTTTATTGACTCCATTCCTTTGCAGTTTCTGAGGTTTCATGGAAGTTTTACATGCAGTTTAGCTTATAATTGCTTGTATCTCTACTTATGTTTGCTATATACAATGGATAATTAATTAACAACTTTTCTTTCGGTTTGAATGAAAATGTATTAAAAGTATCTAAAACATCCCACAATTCCTCTTATTCAAATTGTAAGATACTTTAACTATATGTCCGAAAATTACGTGTTAAAATTACCAACTTAAAAATACATACACCCAAATGCAACTTGATAAACAGATAAGTCTTTCACTAATTAAAAATTTTCAATTGCCAATGAGTACATGTTTCATCACAACTGCAAGTGAGTAGGATACGAAAGCGGATTGGGCCAAGAAAGCAACAAAATTGGAGATATCACTGAATTAGTCTTGTACTCATTGACAATTGAAAATTGTTAATCAGTGAAAGACAGAGGAATATATCTTTTTAAAAACAATGATGCATTTGTCAAATCCAAGTGGAAGCATTCCATAGAGTGTATATTGAAGCCGATTAATATTGTCAATTTTTCAAAAAAGAAAGATAATTTTATTTGAAAGATTTAATGAGACAAACATATCATCCACGTTTCTTCATTTTACGTATACCTCAGGTTAACATTTTGGTTCACGAGCCTTTTGATTTAAAATTCTTAATCTTTTTAAGGACATTGGCAAGGTTCCTGGTTATAGTATAGAATTTTTCAAGAACTCTTGAGTAGGTTTAATTGTACTAAACAGGCTATATTCTGGATTGTTTAACCTACCAAGCCAACCTTCTTTTTTAGATTTTGTCAAATCAGTGTTTTTGCAATTCTCAATGCATTTCCTATGTAAAATGTTGATAAAAGGGAGCTACATAATTTTTCACCATAATATTTTTCAAAAACCCACTTATTTCATATAGTTTTTGTATTATATACATTATTGTATCTTCATTTCCTATGACTTCTAGATATTTTGGCTGAAAACGTATATATAGAAACAGGACAAGAACATACCGGCACCGATCTTTATTTCTGAGTTACTTCCCTTAACAGCTATAATTACATATTATTCATAATGGTCAAGAGAGTCAGACTCGTTGATTGATTCTATCATGTAATTGACTGAATTGATTGAAACACATTGTCATAAAAATATTGGCATGGATTTATTTCAAATTTTATTCGTAGTTACTAAATGCTGCTTCCTTCATACAACCTGAGAACTGATCTCAGTCGGTCTACCTTTCAGCGTATGTCACATCTTTGCCCTTCCCAGCATACTGAGCATAACTATGGTAAATGACAACCTGTTGGATCTTGGTCCCCTGAATACAATTCACAACAAAGCCATTACTAATTTTCTTTCTTGCTGTATAGATGATTCTACCCGTTGAAGGAAGTACATGTGCTTTTGTTTACCTCTGTAAACATATGCTTTATTGGTTTTCACCGCTTAGAGAATTCTACACGGGAGATCACTCTCAATCACTATTTCATAAGTGAAAAAACCCATGTATTAAACCTTTTTTCTCCGGAAAACCTTGACTTGCCAATGTCCTTAATCAAAAAGAAAGATACATGTATATCTCTAATAAAATCTACAGGGGTCATTATTCTACGGGGGTCATTTTTCTTCACGTGGGATATGCAGATTTTAAGGGTAATGCCACTTTTCTACAGGCAAAAGGGTCATTTTTCGACGTCGAATAATGACAGAGGGTAATTTTTCGACGTCGAAAAATGATCCCCGGTCATTATCCCATGGGGGTCATTTTTCGTCTTTACATCGGCAGGCGATGCTCACTCCTTCATGGCACCTGATCCCCCCCCCCCCCCCCTGATGCATTTGGAGGTCCATTTTTACTCGGCTCTCGATCTGCCCGTTTCAGTTTAATAAGATCGCCTTATTTGAATGAAAAGACTAAAGAGAGTGAACAGTTAGCGATCTAAAAAAAGGATCTCAAAACAAAACAAATTTGTTAGAAGGGCATAAACACAGACCCCTGGAAATTCTGGAGGTGGGATCAAATCGGATTTTTATAGCAACATAACACAACTTATGTACAGCTTTTGACCGACATGCAAATTAGAAATCAAGTCCAAGGAGTTTTTTGAAGTTTTCAAAGGATCTTTTTGTATTTCTGCAAACGGTAATATAATGGAACTCTGAACATGTAAAAACAAGCGATTGTTTAGATTCAGGGCATGTCACATAAATGATATTGGATCTTGGATCCAATGTTTTACAATTTTTTACTAAAAATAATGATCATTGTTTGTTGTGAAAGGAAGCTAAAAGCTATTTCTTTAGAATTCATAAAATGTTTTATCCTACTATTTATGCCTGTAATATTACATCATATTACTCCCAATTACTCTCTCTTAAAGAAAACGGCATATAGTATAACCAGAAGAATAACAATTCTTTTTTTCAAATGTGGGATTTTTACTCCCCCAGGCATTTGATTACAACTCTAATGTGTTCACGTGTCTGTGTCTGCTCTCCACTTGTTATGTCCAGCATGATTACTGTTTGTTATACTCGTATAGCTTGCATTTTTTTCCCCGTTATCCAAGCATTCACTTCCATGTTGTGTTAATATTTAAACATAAATAAATACAATGAAATAAGAATGAATAACCAATAGATGAGTCAATAACTCACCAAAGATCTGAGTTACCGGATCTCACTGGCCGTATAATACGTCTGGACTCTGCAAGGTCTAGGGGGTAACTACTGAAAACTATTTACATTCTATTTATATACATTATAAGGATCCCGATCCCGATCATAAATACATCGTACATCACTACATTCCTCCCCCTCATATTTGAAAGTCTATATACATATGGTCATAAAAATATTTATGTCTTTTAAAATATAACGCATATAGAACTTACATAGTTTTAAAAAGAATAATGTCAGAATAAAAACTTGTAATTCGTTTATTTATTACACACAGACAATGAAATTGACAACAATCAGACAATCCGACTGTTTGTCAGCATCATCCATGCGCAATAAATAATTATAAAAGATGTTATCAAACTTTATATAATACTTTGTTGAATTTTGATCTTGAAATCTTCCAGTAAGAAATCATTGCCCAAATCTGAGAGATGAATGCCATCTCTCCTAAATAAATATCTCTTTCTGTGTTCAATTTTAGCATGTCTAATATTATTTTCATTTCCAATAAAATCATACATTCCTTTATTAATGGTAGACCTTTCCTTTTCTCCCTCTTCCCAATTCAAACCTCTCCAAGTAAGCCTGGTTAATAAATCTGAAAAAATCACTTTACAATTTGGAAACTCTTGTCTGATTTCAGCTAAATCTTTCTGCATGTGTGATAATAGTTTTCTTGAACATCCAAATTTGATATCATTTGAACCTAAATGTATAATTATGAAATCTGGCAGAGGAAATTTTGATTTACAAAAAGAAACAGTATCCAATAAACTTTCCCACTTCATGCTCCTTATTCCATGCCAAAAAATGCTCAATTTTGTCTTTTCAAATTCAAGATTTTCTATACCAATGTCAATTGCTCTTTGAGCAGCCCAATGTACAATTGATGAACCTAAAATCCACACTACATACTTTTTGTACACTTTAAAAAGAAGAGCTGTACAGCTGGAAACATCTATAAGTTTGCTTAAAATCTTCCAGTGTAAAAGAGATGAAGCATTAACTACTGGAAAGGGTATTTTTGAAACCGTTAATCCTGGAAACTTTACTTTTAAAAAATTTTCACCTAGAAAAAGATCATCTTCTTGAAAAACAGATCCCTGACAACAACTGAACTGTTCATTACTGTTAATGAATTTAAACAGATTCTCAAAAGTTTCTAATTTCAAAACATGAATAATTTGTAAGAATAGGTAATACATAAAATCCATCCAGAAATGGTCAAACTGTTGTAGAGGGCTATTACTGTTATGTTTTCACATGCACATCTAAAAAGTGTTTTTGGCCAAAGTTAATTCTGCAAGATGGACAGCATGTAGAGGGATAGGCATACCATGGCAAATGATCTTTTATGACACGGCGCTTAACATGCGTAAATTTTGCCATACAGATTGGGCACGGTTTCCCTCTTTTACTGGTAGTCGAACCAGACACCCTAGATGGAGGACTGAGTAGTTGATCATACTTGAGTTCATAATCAGGAACGAAGTCCCTTTCTTCTTCCATTCTAACTAAATAAAACACTGAATATATTCAAAAGTGTATTTTTATACTCAGTCAATACCTAATATTCATGTATTTTTTTTTTTAGAATAAGTATCCTTACTCATTACATATTATAGATAAAATATCTAGGCTGAGTCTGTAAGCCAAGCTACATATGTCATAATATATATATATATATATATATATATATATATATATATATATATATATATATATATATATATATATATATATATATACTACAAAAAAACATCAATATATTGGCAAATTAATCATCAAGATCATAATCAGCCAAATATAGTATCTAGGTTTTCTCCTAATTCTCTCTGGTTTGTTTTTAGAATTATCTGAGACATCACAAGACAATGGTATCAGAGTATCCGACTCCACTATCTGTTGATCTCCAGACAATTCTTCACTATCATCATAAAAATTATTTTCTTGTGCATTAAAAATTTCTGAAAGGTTGAACACATTGTAAAAATCAGCTTCTTGAACAGAACTATCCTCAACATCACATTTTTTAAGAATTTGATTTCTTAACCGTGATAACCATACAGGATGGTTTCGATCTTGACAAAGCTTAATTCTGTCATGATGAATAACTTCTTCTCTTTTTCTGTTTTTTATTTTATACAAAACAGGGGATTTAACTTCTGAAATGATGTAAGGGCCTTTCCAAGGGGATTTTAATTTTGGACTTTGGCCAACAGTTGTGGCTGAATTCAATATATATACAACATCCCCTATCTTATATGTACTTTGAAAAGATTTCAAGTCATAATCTCTTTTTTGTCTTTGTTGGGAAGATTTGAGATTATCTCTTGCTTCTTTGTGGATAAGTTCTAAATTTGATCTTAATTTTGAAACATATTCATTTGCATCTGTTTCTTTTGTATTGATTATTGTACCAAGAAATATGTCTAAGGGTTGTATAACATCCCTTCCTAACATCATTTGATTTGGTGTAAACCCTGTTTGTCTATTCTTTGTAGCTCTAATGGCTCCTGCCAGTTGTTGTAAATATGAGTCCCAGGTATCTTGTTTGTTTTTTATGTAGCACCTTAAAGCTTGTAAAATTGTTCGATTATATCTCTCTATTTGACCATTTGAAGCTGGGTGATATGGGGTAGTTCTCGTTTTAGCAATTTGTAAAAGATCACAGATATTTCGCAAGATATTACCATCCATATTTTTACCTTGGTCAGTGTGTAATTCTAAAGGACAACCCAGTCTACAAATGAAATTATCTACAAATGTCTTAGCTATAAGCTCAGCTTTTTGATTTGGTAAAGAGAAACATTCGACCCACTTTGTAAATTGGTCTATGATCAATAAAATGTATTTGTTTCCTAATTTTGTTTCAGGTAAGGGACCTAAAATGTCCATATGAACTCTTTCCATTGGGACACCAGAATGATACTGCCCTAATTGTCCTCTAGCTTTAACATTTGGTTTTTTGTTCTTATTGCAAATTTCACATGATCTTACATATTCCGTACAGTCAGTATGCATATTATACCATATATCACATTTCTTTAGTTTTTCTATTGTATTTGTTTGCCCTAAATGTCTTGAAAGAGGAATATCATGACACAATTCTAGTACTTTTTGTTTCAGATTTTGGAACTACATAAAGTAATCTCGGCATAAAAGGATCTTCCCACAAATAATACAGGATATCATTTTTTATTTGTAGCTGTGATCTACATAACCAATAGTGTCTAATGGTCTTACTAGACAGCTGGAGTTCTTGAATGGATGGTTCATATTTGTTTTTCAACCATAATACAATTTGACTTACATCTGGATCTTGTTCTTGTGCATTTTTTATTTCATCATTATCTAATAATAAGCTTGTATACTGATCTAAATCTGAACTTGTTTTTGTTGATCTTATTGATATGGGAACTACATAATCTACATCCTCTTCAAAAGTTTCCCATTGTTTTCTAGCTCTAGTACAAAAAGTACAACCTCCACATGGAAGAGAATTTAGTGGAATATTTGCTTTATAGTCATTACATGATGGTATTGGATCAGGAATTCTAGACAATGCATCTGCATTTTGATGATGTTTACCAGATCTGTGTTGAATGACCATATTTTATTGTGCTAATTCTTCTAACCATCTAGCTAGCTGACCCTGAATGTTTTTAAAATTCATCAACCAAATCAGACTGTTATGATCTGTTCTAATTACAAAAGGTCTTCCTAATAAATAATGTCTGAATTGTCTGGTGAAAACAACAATAGATAATAGTTCTTTTCTTGTTGTGCAATACTTGCGTTGTTCTGGCGTTAAAACTTTACTTGCAAATGAAATAGTTTTTTCTACACCATCTTGAATTTGACTTAATTCCGCTCCTATACTCTTATCTGAAGCGTCAGTATCTAATATAAAAGTCTCGTCAGGATCTGGGTGGTTTAATATTGCGGCATTTAACAGAGAATCTTTCAATTTATCAAATGTCTCTTGATGTTCATCTAGCCAATTGAATTCTGAATGCTTACTAACTAAATGGTGAAGTGGTTCAACAATGTTAGCAAAATGGTCAACATGTTCTCTATGATAATTTGCAAAACCAAGAAATGATTCCAATTCTTTAACATTTGTTGGAACTGGCCAATTTTTCATTGTTGTGATATTTTCAGGAGTAATCATAATCCCTTTTCCATTCACAATTTTACATAAGAATTTAACTTCTTTCTGAAAAAATTGGCATTTCTTTGGTTTAAGTTTGAGATTGTATTGCATAAATCTTGATAGTACATGCTCTAGATTTTTAAGATGATCTTCAAAGTTAAAGCCTAGAACCAATATGTCATCTAAATATGCTAAACACTCTGTCCATGTTAAACCCTGAAGGACTAATTGAATAACTCTACTGAATGTAGCAGGGCTATTACACAGACCAAATGGTAGCCTATTATGTTCAAACAAACCATATTTAGTTATGAAAGCAGTCTTATGTTTGTCATCTTTATGTACAAAAATGTTCCAATATGCTGCTTGCATGTCCAGAGTACTCAAAAAATTACTCCCCTTCAATGAATCTATGCAATCAGTGATGTTTGGTAAAGGGAAAGCATCTTTAGTTGTAACTTTGTTCAATGATCTAAAATCTATGCAGTATCTTAGACTACCATTTTTTTTCCTAACTAGTACTGGAGATGAAGCCCACTCGGAAGAAGAAGGTTCTATGATACCCTTCTCTAACATTTGATCTAAATGCTCTTTTTCTTCCTTCTCAAAACATAAGGGTGTTCTTCTTAATTTTTGTCTATTTGGTTTAGCATCACCTGTACCAATTCTATGTTGAATATCCCCACTGAATAAACCCATGTCAAAATCATTTTTTGCAAAAACATCTTGAAATGAAATAATGAATTTTGCAAACAGGATACTTTGTTCTGTTGACAGATTTTTAATTGATCTTTCAAACATTTCAGTCAAATGTTTTCGTATTTCTTGTCTAATCTGATCTAAACTTAGATTTTCAATACCTAATTTTCTGATATTTACAAGATCTTCAATACCTAATGACTGTGATCTTTCATAGTCCAAAACCTTGTCTAACTGTATACCAAAACCCACGTCAAAGTTTTTCTTAATAGTTTTATAACTGTCTGTAGGGTTTCTCAATAAAATAAAATTTTGATCTTTGCTATTTACACAATTGGGTGACAAAAGACCATGAAGATTGTAACATGGATTTATAGCAATGTCAGATTCTGGGGTAATGTCATAATCTATTTCAGAATAAATATAAGCATGTGGGGGAACCACCACTTTCTTTTTTGTGTGTATTCTGAAAATTTTGACTTTTTCTTTGTCCTCATTTGCGATACATTTTGCAAGTATTTTACAATTTTTTATTGTTACTGAAAAATCCTGTAAATTTATAGTTGCCTTAGTATGTTCTAAAAAATCAAGGCCTATAATTGTTGGATCTGACACCTTAGCCACTACAAAATTCCATTTTGTGCTGATATTTCCTATTGATAAGGGTACACTTTGACATATGACAGAATCTACCTTGGTATTACTTATACCCTTTAAGGAAACATGGTCAGTAAGTTGAGGACTTGGATTCAGTTTTTATAGAGTTCACAGTGGCTGCAGTATCTAAAACAGCTTCTGTACTAATGTTCTGAACTCTTATTGGTAGATAGAGTGTCTTATATTTCATGGATCTATCTTGTGTTAATTAGATTTCTTTTATGTTTGATTTAAATTTAGTGTGTGGTTGAGGTCTTTGTGTGTTTGTACGAGCTGAGGAATGACCTATTTCCTCAGATCTTGAAAGTTTAAATTGACAGCTTTTTGTGTTGGTGAGGGTGATCTTGATTTTGACTTCCAACAATTTCTAGCGAAATGTCCCATTTTACCACACACATAGCACTTGCTCTCACTCTCTGACCTTACAGGACTATTTGATGGAGATATTTTTGGTGATGCATATCTTGGTTCTGATGCATTCAACGATCTTTGTGGTGATGTATACCTTAACGTTGACCTTGATGTTGATGTATATGTTCTTTTTGGTGACTGGAATCTTGGTCTTGGTTGTCTTTCTTCATCTGGCACCGGCAATACTCTCAAAATTTCCTTTAGCAGTCTAGTTGTTTCCCTGCTCTCTTTTTCTAAAGTTGAAATTCTTGATTCTAATGAAGGCTTTGGTGGTGATGGACTCCTTGCCATTCGAATACGGATGTCTTTGGATGGACTATCGTCAGATTTCATGTTCTCAAATGTAACGTTTTTGGTCTCTTTCTTTGGGCCCATTATTAATTTTTGATTGGTGATGGAAATTTTCATGTAGTTAATTGCCTGATCCAGAGTTTGTGGATCTTTAGCAAGAGTGACCAATGCAGCCCGTTTCTCTGTACAGCCTCGAAGAAAAGCATCGACGGTGATGGTGTTTTTGAAGAATTCAGGGGTCTCTGGATATCCTTCAGCAGCAAGTTCTTCAATGCGCTCCGCAAATTCTTCAATCGTTTCTTCTGGATTTTGTTTAATCTCTTGCAGCTGTCTTCGAATAATGTATGGCTGGTCCTTCTTATCAAACCGTTCTTTCAATTTCTGACAGAGCAATTTGTAATCTTGTTGTACATTTTCAGGTCTTGAACTATAAAACTTTAATGCTTTGTCTCTCAAACACACTCAATCAGCTTATCTAATTTGTCTGAGTCATTCCATTTGTACTTTTCAGCCATGTGATTGAATTGAGTGAAATATGGTCTCCACTCTGATTTGCCATCATACGTAGCAAGTTTTGGGGGTACTGGACTGGAAACTGTGTTCTTCTTCTCTTCTGGTTTTTCAACACTAGATTCGTTCTTATGACTATAAATACTATGTGGGGCAAATTTTTCTATTCTTGATGTAAAGCGTTGATGTTCTAATTCTGCTTTCATTTGGTTCAATTCTTTTTCTCTTTTCACAATCTCTCTTTCTCTTTCATCCATCTCTCTCATTCTTGATCTTAAATGTTCTTCTCTTTCAGCACGCTCTTGCTCTTCTAATGCTCTTATTTTTTGTTTTTGTTCGTCAAATCTCTCATACTGATCATTTAGTTCTTGTTCTCTTAAATTAACTTTCTTGTGCAAATCTTCAAACATGCCATCATACTTCTCTCTATTAATGACCAAACTTCTCTGTAACATTGAAACTTCCCCTTCACTATTCTCAAGACGGACAGTTTTTTCTTGTAACAATTGATCTTTTTCTCCTAATTCTTTCTCTCTCTCCATGATCACATTTTCTCTCTCTCTGATCTGATGTTCTCTCTCTCTCTGATCTGATGTTCTCTCTCTCGTAACTCTCTTTGTAAATTTTCTATTTGTTGGTATCAGTTTTCTTGTGATTGCAGTGTCTGTACATGCTCTATTGATTCTGTTTGAATTCGTGATCTGTCTTGTGATTTTTCTACTTGTCCAGTGATCTGTGTGGACAAAGTATTTCTTAAAGTTGAAGGGACAATTATCTTACCCTGATCGACAAGAGGGTCCCAGATATTACTTGGCATACTAGGGATTACCTTAAGATCTTCTAATGAAAGGGTTCCCTTATTTAATCGTATATCTACAATTGCCTGTGCTCTTACTTTACCTATATTGTTTATCCTCACAAGATCTTTAACAGAGGCTGTGTTCATATCTATAGGGGTAGTCATGATCTTGATCTTATTTACCCACTATATTAGCCTACTTATTCATTATCAATGGTCTTAAATGATGTGTTTGACTAAATCATCAGACACTCCGATAAAATAGTCATGCAATTCTATGAGATGCAAAAAAACATGTTCTTGTAGGCTAAGAAAAAATAAGTAAAAATTGAAAATTGAAAAATAATGACAAAGGATCTTACAAAATACTAACACTATTTATTCAATGTACCCTGATCTTATTTAGGCGAACAAAGAATTTATTTTTAAAAATGGCGCCAAAATTCACGATCTTTTGTGCGGGGTATTCGATTGAAATCTACAACCACTTCTGACACCAATGTTGTGTTAATATTTAGACATAAATAAATACAATGAAATAAGAATGAATAACCAATAGATGAGTCAATAACTCACCAAAGATCTGAGTTACCGGATCTCACAGGCCGTACAATACGTCTGGACTCTGCAAGGTCTAGGGGGCAACTACTGAAAACTATTTACATTCTATTTATATACATTATAAGGATCCCGATCCCGATCATAAATACATCGTACATCACTACATAAACACCATTGAAAACTACGTCAGCATAAGTGATAATCTCGATGCATTTATAATAAGCGAACAAAATATATAACATTGACATGACTGAATTGCACGACAGTCAGACATTCGAGACTAGACATGAATCATTAATGCATTAGAGGGCATACCATAAAATCTTTTGTTATTCTCGTCATTCCATCTTGTCTGAATGCGAATTCTAAAAAACGGTAATATTTTACGGATATTTGAATCCGAACTTAATATTTTTGAAATAATTTTTGTATTTTGAAATCAAAGGGAATCCCAACTTATCTGCATGACACTTAACGCTTTAAATTAATTGCTTTAAGACTGTATGAATGCTTTTCTCAATGAAAACTTCTTCATTTGTAATAAATAGTTCACCTAGAGTAGGTCACAATTGTTGCAAGCATAAACTCTATTAGTACATTACAAAATCGCTGTCAATCTAATAATATTAGATATGATTGACAATAAAACTGTAACAATTCAGTTTTAAATAATCAAATAACAATAAACATCTAACGTAATCGTCGATGTACTTATATGGTATGCAAACAATAAAGACCTTACCTGTTTCCTCTCCTCTCTATTTCGCAAAGCAAACTGACAACCTTTTTGCAAGCTAGAATGCTTAAAAGGAATTTCATAAACACAGTATCCTGTTGCAAGTTTCATAAAATGGGAAAACAAATCCATTTATCGGTAAGAAAAATCCCCCCCCCCCAAAAAAAAAATATTTCGCGAATACTAGTTGGTTTACAGTATTTTAGGTAGTACACAGAATATAGGGTTTCTGTATATAACAACATAACAGCTGATTCTTCAGATCGTTTAGGTTGTTACGTGTTGTAGGAGATCTCTTACTATGCTAATTAGGTGTAATTTACATTATACATGTAAGTATCCCACAGTCTTTGTTTTCTTTTCTATCCCTTGAATTTGCCGCTGAACAACTAGCTGAAATCTGTCGTAACGTAGTACGCGCTTGCTTATACGGTACAAGTAATAGCTTTTCAAAAAGCTTGCCTGACTAATCAATCAATATCTATATGGAACGTATAATCAAGGATGTACATTTGATTTTCTCAAATGTCATAACCAAATACTACATATTAACGAATATCTAAGATATGCCACTATCTGATCATTAATTAGTTAGCCCATGCGCGGATCTATAGGGAATGGGGGCTCCGGACCCCCCTCCCCCCTCACGGGAATTTGCGTAGGTATTAAAAGTATGTACCGAAGCAAATAAAAATGACTTTGGACCCCCCCCCCCCTTAGAAAAGGTGTACCCACCATTTACCACAACGAAACAATCTAATTAAAATTAGCTGTTCCGAATCCGCTACCGCTCGTTTGAGAAGCGGTAGCGGATTCGGAAGATTTAATTTTAATTATATTGCACAACGGAATAGGTGTTTTTCACGCTTTGGAATTGAAATCCCCCCCCCCTTTTCTTTTGCTTGTCAAGTAAATTTCTGGATAAGGAAGAAAATTTATGTGTTTGCTTTTTCTTTTTCTTCTTTTTTTTTTTTTTTTTTTTTTTTTTTTTGCTTGTCTGGAACCCCCCCCCCTCCCCTTGGAAAAAAATCTCTGTTATTCGTCGTTCTCGACGACTAAGTAAATTGTATGAACAGATTTAGCAGGGAAAGTTGTTTTGAAGTGTTTTAGACAAAAATGCTTCAATACTTCTCTAGGATTCAAAGTAAATAGCCTGTACACTTTATAGCCAGAGGAAAACATGATACTAATACCCCCCCCCCCCCCCGCCGGACAAAACTCACACGATGATGGTCTTACCATATACATGTAAAATAAATCAGTTTAAAATACATCTTTATGTACAGTTTTAAAATTGTTTAGTTTTTCTTTTCAATCAATTTCAGGACCTTTCTCATTTCTTCTATAATAACCTGTTTTTTTATGAAATGAAAACCAGTACTGGTCATGATGTCGATCTTCTTCATTTTGCCGATTCTTTACTTAGAACCTTACGGGAGTGAAACCCATTCCTCTACGGGTACTGACCTACACTCTTGTCACTATATTAAAAGGAAACTCTTGTTCATCTCAAAGCATGAAATAATATGCTACTGGCTGACTTCCTTAGCTTTTTTTAAAAAAAACCTAACATTGTAACGTACATAATTAATAAATGTAATATTGAAAGAAATGGTGGAAAACAGACTGAATCAAGAAGGGATGACCCATTTACTAGGTGGAGGGATCGAGTTTGTTTATGATTGCAATAGTCCACTTAATGGATAACTGGGAAACAAAATAGTAGAATAATCAGCAAATCCACTGCTTTAGTGTTGCCTGCTCATATTCAATGTGTTCTTTTAAAAAAATGAGATAAAATTTGCAGTTAATTAACATCTGAAGCTTAAGAATCAGGTTAAAAGAACAAACTTTATTTATTTCCATAGAAGTTATCACACCCACTCAATCCAATCCAAGAAAAAGGCGCGAAGATTATTTACTTGTGACATTTGGCGCGAAATAATTTCGTCACCCCTTTCGTAGAAGATAAATGGACTGATCCAGTAGTTTAGAAACGCAGAAAAATGTTACACGGACATGTCCGTATAAAGAATCGCAAAGAATAAACAGGTGCATGCAAAAAAAAAAAAAAGAGGCCCATGGGCCACATCGCTCACCTGAGCACATTGGCTAGACACAAATCAGTTCAGTATTGAAAAGATTACCGGAAGGGGGGGGGGTGAATCTTAAAATACCTGGTGATGCTTCCATGTCAATATAACATATGGCTTGTTGTACTTGAGAAAATTTTAAATTTTTTCCCCATATATTCCTTTGTACAAATTTGATCCCCCATTGTGGCTCCTCCCTATCCCAGAGGTTATCATTTGAACAAACTTGAATCTACACTTCCCGAGGATGCTTCCATATCAATATGACTAAACATAGCTTTTCTGTTCTTGAGAAGAAATATTTCTTTCTATGTGTTCTTATGTAAAACTTTCGATCCCCATTGGGCCCCACCCTACCCCTTGGGGTTATCATTTGAACAAAAATTGAATTTACACTACCTAATGATGCTTCCATATCAAAATGACTAAACACGATTTTCATTTCTTGAGAAGAAGATATTTTCCAATATGTTCCTATGTAAAATTTTTGATCTCCCATTGTGGCCCATCCCTATCCCCGGGGGTCATCATTTTAACAAACTTGACAAACAAAATCTACACTACCTGAGGATGCTTCCATATCAAAATGACTAATCATGGCTTCGCAGTTCTTCATCAGAAGATACCTTTCTATATATTTCTATTTCAGACATTGATCCTCCACTGTGGCCCCGCCCAACCCCAGGGGGTCATGATTTGAACAAACTTAAATCTACACTACCTGAGGATGCTTCCATATAAATATGATCAATCAGGGCTTTGCTGTTCTTGAGAAGAAGATTTTTAAAGGTTTTTCCTATATATTTCTATGTTAAACTTTGATCCTCCATTGTGGCCCCGCCCTACCCCCGGGGGTCATGATTTGAACAAATTTGAATCTACACTACCTGAGGATGCTTCCATATAAATACGACTCATCATGGCTTCGCTATTCTTGAGAAGAAGATTTTTAAAGGTTTTTCCTATATATTTCTATGTTAAACTTTGATCCTCCATTGTGGCCCCGTCCTACCCCCGGGGGTCATGATTTGGACAAACTTGAATCTACACTACCTGAGGATGCTTCCATATAAATACGACTCATCATGGCTTAGTCGTTCTTTAGAAGAAGATTTTTAAAGGTTTTTCCTATATATTTCTATGTTAAACTTTGATCCTCCATTGTGGCCCCGCCGTACCTCCGGGGGTCATGATTTGAAAAACTTGAATCTACACTACCTGAGGATGCTTCCATATAAATATGACCAATTAGGGCTTTGCTGTTCTTGAGAAGAAGATTTTTAAAGGTTTTTCCTGTATATTTCTATGTAAAACTTTGATCCTCCATTGTGGCCCCGCCCTACCCCGGGGGTC